CACTCCCCACATTTCCCTCACACAGCAGAGCCTACAGAACCTCATTACTCCTCGTGGAATGAGGTTTAACAGTTCATTCGAACTAAGGTGTTTATCTCGGAATCCTGCTTCTCTGTCGTGTGTAGATGTGGGCAGTTACTTCGGGCTAGTCAGTTTCCAAAAATGGCGACCGGACGGGATTATGCAAATCAAGTGCGGGATATTTAAATCCCATGCTTCATTAGCAATTTCGGTCGCCCTCATTAGCCTCCCTAGTTCGAACTAGAGGGCTAGTGTAAACGTACCCACAGACTTCAGAACAAGTTCTCACATGGAAATAAATCACAACCCTTGTTCTAGGATCTCTTGCTTGTGTGGATTTTCCATATAAAAGATCTACTTCTCCCTAGATCCTCTGAACGGGTTCTAACTAAGAACATTACACTTTCTCTCCCTATCCAAAGTGCCACACAATGGGAACTGGAACAGCCACGTAGGTCAGGACCTAAGTTTTACCTCTCATCTGAAGGATGCTATCCTCCAGCCACCATTGCTGCCCCCTAGCACTATGCTGGGTCATTGACTCAGTACCAGCAGATCAAAGAACATGACCTACCTCATGACTGGACTGGTTTTCTGAAGCACTCTGGGATTTTGTCTGGATGTCTCCCATCCAGGGACTGACTTGGCCTGGCTCAGGTTGACACAAGAGTGAAGGCCTATCACAGTCAACAGAAGGAAGGCTGGATGCGGAACACCAGTGCAGAGAAGGCACACTTCACTCAGTGCACATTCAACCTGTGGAACTCCTTGCCAGAGGATGTGGTGAAGGCTAGGACTTTAACAGGGTTAAGAAAAGAGCCAGATAGATTAATGGAGGTTAGGTCCATGAATAATAGCTATAGCTATTAGCCAGAATGGGTAGGAATGGTGTCCCTAGCCTCTGTTTGTCTGGAAATGAGTGATAGGGGAGAGATCACATGAAGATAACCTGTTGTGTTCCCTTCTTCTGGGGCATCTGGTATTGACCACTGTCGGCAGACAGGATACTAGGCTGGATGGACTGTTGGTCTGACCCAGTACGGCCGTTCTTATGTAAGGGGATTTGTGAGCGGGTCGGAGTCTGGTGCTGAAATGTTCTATTCCTTGGCCTCTCCTGAAGGCCATGTGTAATACATATTTAAACAGAGTAATGCTATCGGGGCGGGAGGCTGTGACGGGGTTTTGGGGCGCGAGCCGCCGCCCCGGAGGGCGGGGCCCAGTGAGCCCTCCCCCTGTCTGTCTTAACCTCGCCGGGTCAGCTATGTGGGCGTGAGCCTCTGCCCCAAGTCTGAGGGCAGGGCCCTGCGGGCCCGCCGACCGTGTGGGGAGTCTGGCCGGTTACGGCCGTATCTCCTGTCCCCTCCCCGTAAGAACTTTCTCCGTTCGATTAGACTTGCAGATGGATGAGTGGCTCGAGGAGATGAAGGAGGACCCGGGGCCTCCTCCTCCACCGGGTCCCAGCCCGGCGCCCTAAGGGTGGGCTTGGCCATCCCTACCCGGCTGACGGGGATTCCACCCGAAGCTCGCCAGCCCACGGGTGCCAGAAGCACTCTGCCCCTGGCTGCTTCCTAACACCTCCTCGACCATTGGGTCTCTCTTCTGGGCCCCCGAGTCTTACTCCTCTGGCAGGTCGCGACGATCCCTGTGCGGAGTCCTGGTTCTCCCAGCCACTTTCCGGCTTCCACCACCGAGGAGGGACGAACCATTTCCCGATTCCTCAGGCGGTTCCCTTCTGCTCTCGCCCTTTTCAAGGGCACCACCATGTCAGGCCTGGGAACATGGCTCCGCCCCCTCGCCGTAGCCCCGCCCCCGGCATCCGGCCCAGGGCACGGGTTCTGCCCTCCTCTGGGAGCGCCTGTGTTGCTGCTGGGGTTGGCAGTGGGGCTGGAGTGGTGATCAGGGTCCCGCCAGGGGCAGCCCTGGCTTGAGCCACCCCCCCCCGCTTCCTCCTCCGTCTGCCGCCGCCTCCCGCCTCCACCCCAGGTTTGGCCCCGCCATGGGTGCCGCGCGGGATGCCGTGGGGGCGCTCACCTGCCCCTCTCCCTGGCTGTGATCAGCTTCTGCACGGCTTACAGCCGGCAGCTCAGCCCCCGCCACGCTCTCCAGAGTGCAGGCCATGTCCGGCCCATCACAGAGGCATTTACCTGGGCATTTACCTTCTGCCTTCTTTCCTTTACATTTGATTTATAAAAACTTGGCATCATGATGGTATCCTGAGCTTTCATGGGAACAACCCCTTCTTCAGATGACTGGAAACAGCTGTTATTTCGAAATAACTTTACTAGTGTTTACACAGCCAAACTGCTCTTTCGAAATTAATTTGAAATAGCGGAGGGCTTATTTCGAATTTGGTAAACCTCATTCCACGAGGAATAACGCCACATTCGAAATAGCTATTTCGAAATAAGTGCTATCTAGACACTTATATCGAAATAGGGGGCCTCCAGCCTTCACAGGGTGCCCTAGTGGCCACTCCAGGCTCAAACAAGAACACTCCTCTCCCTCCCCGGAGCCATTAAAGGGGTTGACTCTGGCCACAGTGCCTGTGCCAGCTCCAAACC